GAACCCTGGTGGAACCCTGGTGGAACCTTACCTCAGGCCGCCCCGAACCACCCGCAGCTCTCGTGGAACCCTTGGTGGAAGCCTCGTGGAACCCTGGTGGAACCCTGGTGGAACCCTGGTGGAACCCTGGTAGAACCCTGGTGGAACCCTGGTGGAACCCTGGTGGAACCCTGGTGGAACCCTGGTGGAACCTGCCCCGAACCACCCTGGTGGAACCCTGGTGGAACCCTGGTGGAACCCTGGTGGAACCTTACCTCAGGCCGCCCCGAACCACCCGCAGCTCTCGTGGAACCCTTGGTAACCCTCGCGGAACCGTGGAACCCTGGTGAACCCTGGTGGAACCCTGGTGGAACCCTGGTGGAACCCTGGTGGAACCGTGGTGGAACCTTACCTCAGGCCGCCCCGAACCACCCGCAGCTCTCGTGGAACCCTTGGTGGAAGCCTGGTGGAACCCTAACCCTGACCTGGTGGAACCCTGATGGAACCCTGGTGGAACCCTGGTGGAACCCTGGTGGAACCCTGGTGGAACCCTGGTGGAACCCTGGTGGAACCCTGGTAGAAGCCTGGTGGAACCCTGGTGGAACCTTACCTCAGGCCGCCCCGAACCACCCACGCAGCTCTCGTGGAACCCTGGTGGAACCCTGTTGGAACCCTGGTGGAACCCTGGTGGAACCCTGGTGGAACCCTGGTGGAACCGTACCTCAAGGCCGCCCCGGACCACCCCGGAGCCTATCTGGGCTGAGACCCCGAAGCTTCCAGCTGTTGGGGGAAGCTTTGGGGTCTCAGCCCAGATAGGCTCCGGTGGGTCCGGGCGGCCTTGGGTACGGTTCCACCAGGGTTCCACCAGTTACACCAGGGTTCCACCAGTCCACCAGTTTCCCCACCAGGGTTCCAACCCGAGAGCTTCGGTGGTTCGGGGCGGCCTGAGGTAAGGTTCCACCAGGGTTCCACCAGGGTTCCACCAGGGTTCCACCAGGGTTCCACCAGGGTTCCACCAGGGTTCCACCAGGGTTCCACCAGGGTTCCACCAGGGTTCCACCAGGGTTCCATCAGGGTTCCACCAGGCCAGGGTTAGGGTTCCACCAACCTTCCACAAAGGGTTCCATGAGAGCTGCGGGTGGTTCGGGGCGGCCTGAGGTAAGGTTCTAGGTAAGGTTCCACCAGGGTTCCACCAGGGTTCCACCAGGGTTCCACCAGGGTTCCACCAGGGTTCACCAGGGTTCCACGGGTTCCGCGAGGGTTAGGGTTCCACCAGGGTTCCACCAAGGGTTCCACGAGAGCTCGCGGGTGGGTTCGGGGCGGCCTGAGGTGGTTCCACCAGGGTTCCACCAGGTTCCACCAGGGTTCCACCAGGGTTCCACCAGGGTTCCACCAGGGTTCCACCAGTTTCCACCAGGGTTCCACCAGGGTTCCACCTCCACCAGGGTCCACCAGGGTTCCACCAGGGTTCCACCAGGGTTCTATGGGTTCCGCTAGGGTTAGGGTTCCAGCAGGCTTCCACCAAGGGTTCCACGAGAGCTGCGGGTGGTTCGGGGCGGCCTGAGGTAAGGTTCCACCAGAGTTCCACCAGGGTTCCACCAGGGTTCACCAGGGTTCCACGAGGGTTAGGGTTCCACCAGCGTTCCACCAAGGGTTCCACGAGAGCTGCGGGTGGTTCGGGGCGGCCTGAGGTAAGGTTCCACCAGGGTTCCACCAGGGTTGTATCAGGGTTCCACCAGGGTTCCACCAGGTTTCCACCAGGGTTCCATGAGAGCTGCGGGTGGTTCGAGGCGGCCTGAGGTAAGGTTCCACCAGGGTTCCACCAGGGTTCACCAGGGTTCCACCAGGGTTCCACCAGGGTTCCAACCAGGGTCCACCGCTGGTGGAAACCCTGGTGAACCCTGGTGGAACGAGTAGCAGTCTGCCGTGATGCTCAGCGTGTCGTCGCCGTTGGCCAGCGCAGCAGCCTCCAGATGCAGGTTGCGAACGACGTTGCTTCCGCGAACGAGCTCCCAAGTAGTGAAGCCCGCCCAGGCCGGCGCGTTAACAACTCCGCCGCTGCCGGAAAGCTGCAGGGCGGCGAGCTCCGCGAGGATTGCGTCGAGGGCGCTCTGGAGCGTGGTCTCGCTGGCCGGAGAGCGCGGCGTTCGTGGCGTACGAGGCCAGCAGCGTCGCGTCGGCCTGGCCCCCTGGAGCGCCGTGATGCTGGCGTCGCGGCTAGCAAGCTGCGCTGCGACGAAGGCCTCGGTGGCGAGACCCAGCAGGGCATTTGCTATCTTGGTGTCTACCTCCAGCGGCGTGTCCAACCCGTCCACCGTGGAGAGCAGGCGCCTTGCCGAGGAGGGCGGCGTCCAGGGCTGCCGTGGTGACTGCGCTTAGGAGGGCCGCCGCTATCTTGGAGTCCACCTCCGAGAGCAGGGCGTAAGCAGTCAGGGCGCTGGCGTCCGCCTTGGAGGCCTGCAGCCCCAAGATGGAGGCGTCTCGACTCGCAAGCTCGGAGGCCAGCGCTGCGGCGGTGACGGCTCCCAGGAGAGCGTTGGCCACCGGCGTGATCCTTGCCGCTACGTCTAGGGAGCGCTGGCCCACCACCGTCTTGAGGCCGTAGTTGGCCGCCAGTGTGGCCAGCGTGGCGTTGTTGGCCGAGGCGATGGAGCCGTCTCTCGTGGAACCCTTGGTGGAAGCCTGGTGGAACCCTAACCCTGGCGGAACCCGTGGAACCCTGGTGGAACCCTGGTGGAACCCTGGTGGAACCCTGGTGGAACCCTGGTGGAACCCTGGTGGAACCCTGGTGGAACCTTGGTGGAACCTTACCTCAGGCCGCCCCGAACCACCCTGGTGGAACCCTGGTGGAACCCTGGTGGAACCCTGGTGGAACCTTACCTCAGGCCGCCCCGAACCACCCGCAGCTCTCGTGGAACCCTTGGTGGAACCCTGGTGGAACCCTAACCCTCGCGGAACCCGTGGAACCCTGGTGAACCCTGGTGGAACCCTGGTGGAACCCTGGTGGAACCCTGGTGGAACCCTGGTGGAACCTTACCTCAGGCCGCCCCGAATCACCCGCAGCTTTCGTGGAACCCTTGGTGGAAGCCTGGTGGAACCCTAACCCTGACCTCATAAAACCCTGATGGAACCCTGGTGGAACCCTGGTGGAACCCTGGTGGAACCCTGGTGGAACCCTGGTGGAACCCTGGTGGAACCCTGGTGGAACCCTGGTGGAACCTTACCTCAGGCCGCCCCGAACCACCCGCAGCTCTCGTGGAACCCTGGTGGAACCCTGGTGGAACCCTGGTGGAACCCTGGTGGAACCCTGGTGGAACCCTGGTGGAACCGTACCTCAAGGCCGCCCCGGACCACCCCGGAGCCTATCTGGGCTGAGACCCCAAAGCTTCCAGCTGTTGGGGAAAAAAGCAGCAACCATTCACCAACCCCATGAATGGGCAGCCAATGGCAGCCACATTGTGTCACAGCTGTTGTGCAACCCATGCCTGTCCCAACGCAGGTCTGGAATTGCTCCATTTTCCCTGGTTGTTGAAAGACACGCCCAAAGCCATGAAAAAAAGCCAATTCACGGGAAGACCTTTAAACGCAACCCGGGAATTTGGGGCTATTTGGAATCAAGCAGCAGGCGGCAAGCAGAGCTTAAATGCAAGCTATAATGCGCCAGCGCACGGACTGAACACAAACACATAGGCTTGGGGCCAAGTAGCTTCTGCCTGGCGTATGGCTGCTGGAGATTGAAACCCTTTTCGCACGTGGCCAAGAGTTGCCGAGAAAAAAAAAGTCCGCTCATTGCTGATGTCCTATTTCTAGAAAAGGCGCGTCCTAACCTGGCTCCGGGCCTTGCAGTCCAAGCGTGGCCAGCAACAAGCGCACCTTGTCCAGGCGCGGGCGTGCGTCACTGCTCGCCTTGTGTTGCCATTGTGTTGCACTCACTTGTCAATTACTGACCCTGAGATGCCAGAAGCAGCACCTGGAGCAATTTCGCACTGACATCCCGTTGTGCAGTTTGTATGACTTAAGCGCAAACTGCCGGAAGAGGAGGCGCACAGAGAACGCTGACCTTGCAATGCCGTGTCTTACCACCAGCTCGCAGCTGTGGCTTCCTGGCTCTAATGGTAGTGTCACACACAGTGATTGCCAAATCCTCAGAACAGCAGTGAGTGATCTTCAGGTGCGACAAGAGGAGAAGGCTGATGACTGGGAAGGAACAATTGGCAGTGCTCACTTACCCATCTACAGCTGCAGTTGCGGCATCAGCAAGGGTTGCACCTGGCCTCAGTCACCGTTTGCATAATTTCAATATGTCACACCACAGCCGTGTGTGCTTTGCACTACTTTCTTTCTGTCTGCTCAGGATCTGGCGCCGGTCGAGCACTTGAGCGAAAGCTCTCTGCGAAAAATGGGTGGAAATGGAATGAGCCTGCCTTGCGCTGGCTTCACCTTGCTCATGGCTATCCTGAATGTAGAGGATGTTCTTTGAGGCACTTGCTGGACAGATAGGCGCAGATAGGATGCGGCGCCTTGGAGCAGAAAAAAGAACTGCGCTCTATTCACCATGTCAACATAGCTCATGACCACAGGCGCTACCGGCCTGCATGTTTCAATGCCGCACTGCGCCTTGAGTTAAAATCCACACTCAGCTGGTCACTGCTTCGAAGCTTCGGATTTCAGAATGTCAACAACATAGCAAGGGGCATTCAAGGCTGTGTGTTCTCATTCGACAGGCGCCTTGCTTGAAACCAGATTGAAATTGGCTTGAGCAGATGCATATTTTTTGGATTTGCTTAATGTCTTCGCCTCATGCCTCCTTTTGGGCAAGAGCCGGCAGAAGTGCCTCAGACTCAGCACGCGCATCTCAGATTTGCAGCAGCGCCGAAGAAGGCAGCAAGAGCCCCACGGCCTTTGCCCTCAAGGGCTTTCAAGCCGGAGTCAAACGAGAGACTGGAGGCCTTGCAGCTGGGTCCCAAGCCAAAGTCCGGCTGCCAACTACGCACAGGTCAGGCCTTTTGCTGATGAGCAGGATGAACCCTTGCGGCGCTGCGCACGGCGCCTGTCACTGCCGGCTGTGCCCTTTGGCGCAGAAGATGAGACTGAGAGTGATGGATCCTCCACATCTAGCAAATCCGAATCTGAAGCAAGCGGTGGCAAGGCGGCGCAGTCTGTGTTTGCGCTGAACTGGCAGTCCCTTGTGCAGTTTAAGGCAGGGACATTTTGGAAGGACAACACGCATGATCCAGCTGCTGAGAGAAAGAAGAGGCAGTACAACAACAGCAATCGGGCAGTAAAGGCGAAGAATGCCCGCAAATCCAGAGCTGGGCGGCACCAAGAGAATGGCTTGGACCCAACCAGAGTTGACCGCCTTCTGGAGATGAAGTCATGCCATTGCCACTTGCTTGCAGTGTGCATATGTGCGGCGCTGCGAGCAATTTGCAGTGGCTTTAACGCTGCCGGACAGGCGCCTTGAAAGTGTGCTTCCAGCAGTTCAACGCATCCAAGAAGCAGCTGGCCCTTTTCTTGGAGAAGTTTTGGAAGCTGAAGAAGCCAGATCAGGATGCGCTAGAAGCTCGATTGCAGCAAAGGCGGGGAGCAACTATTATCAGTGTATTGTTCACGCTGAGGTTCATCAGTCTTTTGCAGGCAGCAGCCAGGCAACAGAGCGGGCTCACACTTTGCTGGACAAAGCCGTTGGGCTAAAGTGCTTGGCCGCCTTGTTAGGGATGGGCCGGGACAGAGTTCGGAGGCCGGCAGAAAAGAAGGCAGAAGCAGGGAGACTACGTGGTCAGTGGACGGCTTTTTGAAGATACTCTATGATTCTTTGGCTGAAACCCTTCCTGACCAAGCGGCTTAGCTCTTACTTTCATTTTAGTTTGTGACGCCCACGGGATGAAGCTGGTTCTGTGCAAGTTGGCTTTGCTGCAGGTTTGTGCGAAGGGGCCGGGCTGCTCGACGCAAACAGGACCTCGACAATTCTAGCGACAGTGACTTTGAAGAAGTTGACTCAGAGGTGGGCAACACAGAGGAGTTGGAGGAATGGCTTTCACATTCAGCCAGCAAATCCCTGCTTCTGCCTGGTCAATCTCTTGTGCAGAAGTTTCTGCCACCTGGCACTGTTGCTGATCTCTTCGAGCACTACAAGGCAACCCAGCAATTAGCTGGTGCCCCATTTGTGTCGTTGCTTGGCTGTTAGTGCGCGTTGCACCTTGAAGTCGGAGAGCAGCGCATTAAATTGCACGCTTGCCTCTGTGTCTTACATTTCTGCTCCACGTGAGGTACACTACCTTCCACAGGGTGTACACAATTCGATGGGCTTCCGTGCTGAAGTTCCGGCAGCGTACGTTGTTTTCGCAGTGCGAAGTTTGCCACAAGCACAGGCACGCGCTGAGTGACAAGACCAAGTCCATGGAAGCTAAGCTGGCTGCATTGACCGAGTACCGCAAGCACTTGCACAATCAGTTTTGCGACCGGACGATTCTGTGGACATTGCATACCGAGTCGGCTGACTTCAACACAGACGTCTTGGTGATATCAATAGACGGGCTTGATCAAGCCAAATTTGCTCTTCCACGAGACGCCCAGCTTCGACCATCCGCGTCCCTGTGAGCTGACTGCAGTCAGTGTCGAAGATTGAGTCTAAACAAGTTGCTGCGCCAAGCCTCGCCTCAAGGTGCATGGGGCCTGGGCGTTTGGCTACGTGCTGGAAATTTTTGTTATGGACGATGTTGCAAAGCACGACTCCTCATGCATCATTGAGATACTGGCACTTACCTCGAGAAGGACACTTGGCTTTTTGAACATAGCGTGCCTGAATCTACTAGTTTGCCATGACATACCATTGCTGGGCACAGTCCAGGTCAGACTGATCTGCACAGAGAAAGGCAAGTCGATGCCAAAATCCGTACTGATTCAGGTGCCGGTGTGTGTTTGTGCGTGACAATTTGCCAATTCTGAACAGTAGCACGACTGGATGCTGTGCGCGTCAGGCAGATAATACCGTGCGGGAGGCCAAGAATATGTATTGCCTCTCGTACCTTCAGATGCTGGTTTCAAAATTTCACGCCCGGCAAACTGGCCTACTATTCCTACGCAAATCGCACACGCACTGTAAAATAGGCATCTTGGCAGCAAAGTGATCAGCGGCTGGAATGTCTACACGCCTTATAAATTCTGAACTTGGTGGCTCTGAGACCAACTTTGGGGACTTCTTGCTCGAAGAGTGGAACACAGACAGGCTTCTGGACGCTGGCGATGTCACTGCTGTCATTGAGGACGAGCTCACAAAAGCCGCAGTTCGAGATTGGGTGGGACCACACACCAAGGTTTCAGTCCGCAAGCTGAATGCCACACGTGAATGGAGGGCGCACTATCCTGCAGGTGTACGCCTGGAAGGCGGGTTGCTGGAGGATGCTCGCGGCAACCGCTTGTTCCTGAACGTGCTGAGACAAGGCCCAGTATTTTTGAAAATATTTTTCAGTGCTTATTATTTGACCGGTTCAACTTTGCAGCTTGTTGCACTTTGCCCTGGCCAGATTTGCCGGCGCCCCTTGAACGAATAGTGGAGCGTGGCTCTTATATTGGCCCACCTGGCGGCAATGATACGGTTTGCCTCATCAAGCAGCACATGTGTGATGACCAGCTATCACAGCGACCCCTCTTGGTGCACACAGAAGCCCGCGCGCGTCAGTTTTCATTGACAGCTCCTCTGACAAAGTGTCTTGACAAATTAAGTCGGTCCCCCGTGCGCAGTCCACACACGCCTTGCCAACGAGGCTTGGGTCATGTTTGCCACACAATGAGTTCCAATCGGCCGACGGGCGTGGCAGCTAAGGCGAGCAAACAACCACACTGCTCAAAATGCTGCAGAGTGGAGGAAGTTGGCTTCTGCAGTCCACGCCTGCTATGGCCAAGAGTACAATCGCGCAGTGTCCTACCTGCAGGCCTTGGCTGCCAATAGCTTCTGGCAGAATGCCGTGCTGCCAGCCCTGCCCTGGCATGAGAGCCACCAGCTTGCCCCGGCGGGCCCGTACGATTTGAATGAGGCAGTGTCACCTCGACGGCGGGTCGTCGGGTCGCTGTAGCTCCAGTTGTCCCTTTGAGGGCGATCTTTTCCGGTAACTGAAGGCAGTAGATCAGAATGAAGCAGTGATAAACACTGTACGACAGCGATCTTGTTGGGAACCGCAGGCAGTAAAAGCCAGCCGGCGAAGCTAGTGTGCAACTTCATTGCGCAGATGCTGTGAAAGTTTGCTTGCTGGACGTTGTTATTGAACCCCCGCCGCAGCGTTTTGGAGTTTGTCCCACGCGCGCCGGCATGTTGAAGAAGCTGGAAGCGGCCAAACAGCTCCAGGACCAGAAGGCAAAAGGCGAAGAGCCTGCCGGCGCCAGCCCTCCGCCCAGCAAGCAAGTGTGCACTGCTTGGGAGCGGGGCTTGAAGAAACTTCCTGGTGGCGACCTGACCCTGGCACGCAAATGCGCTTGTTTTTGGTCAACATTGTTTTTCAATGTACCTTGATGCTACAACTGCAAAAATCTGCGCCAGTCTTGTGTTTTTCTCGTTTTTCAATGTACTTTACAAAAAAGTACATTGATTTCCTTCTGCGGTTTCCAAACCAAAATCAATGCACTGGTTGGCAACCAGCGCATTGAAAACCCAGGATTTCACACACACGGTTTGAAACGGGCATCATGCCAAGTGAACCCCGGGTCGAACCTACCCCCCCCCCCCCCGAATCAATGCACTGGTTGCCAACCAGTACATTGATTTTACTTCTGGGTTTCCAGATCAGAATCAATGCACTATTTTGTAATTCGTAGTGTTTGTGGCTTGGCCAGGAAGATGCAGGGGCCCCATTTTCAATGCACTGGTTGCCAACCGATACATCGAAAATGCCCGCCGGGAATCCTCCAGTACATCGAAAATGCCTGCCAGAAATCATCCAGCACATCGAAAATGCCTGCCAGAAAGCCTCCAGTACATCGAAAATGCCTGCCAGAAAAATAAGGCCCGCCAGAAATCCTCAGGTGCATCGAACACGCTGCCAGAAATCCTCCAGCACATCGAAAATGCCCGCCAGAAATCCTCCAGTACATCGAAAATGCCCGCCAGAAATCCTCCAGCACATCGAAAATGCCTGCCAGAATATTCCGGTACATCGAAAATGCCCGCCCAAAATCCTCCGGCGCATTGAGCACACCTCCAGAAATCCTCAGGTGCATCAAAAATGCCCTCCGGTGCATCGAAAAGGTCCGCCAGAAAGCCCGAAATCCTCCGGCACATCAAAAGGCCTGCCAGAAATTCTCATCATTTCTGCAACAGTGTGTCAGGGGTCAGATTATTGTGAAAGAATTGCAGAGTCACTTCATACTTTGTTCGAGTTCGTGGCCAGCTTCAAGTCACCTGCTGGCCTGCCCGGCACACGTCAGGATGCAGATTTGGACGCCCGTCCGGCCAGCCTGGTGATTGAGAACCTTGCCTCTGGCAGGCCCACGGACAAGGTCAATTTGAGTCACTTGGAGTCTTGGTACGAAGAGTGCTCCAAGCTGCTCGGCAAGCCCCAGAAGTTTGCACACACGCCGTGCGAGATCAAGTCGAGCATGGACGGGTTGCTCACTGGCGTTTGACGCTGCTCAGGTTTGCAAAGCCAGTGGACGGGCCATGCCTAGAAGACTGGATGGGCTGCTTTGAGAGCGTTCTTCGGCTCGGTGGACCTGGGCAGGGATCTCTGCAGAATGCGGGGTAGCTTCATTTGGCGTTGGCTGGCGCCCGAACTTCTTAGGCAGCATCAACTGCGAGGCTGCGGCCCTGGACCAGGTCAAAGGCTGGACAAGATCTTCTGTGCTTGCCTTGCTGCTGATAGCAGCTGCGGAATATGACCTCGGCGACCCGTTTACCATGGACAAGCTCCAACCTCTCGAGAATGCCTTTGTGTGGCTTGTCCCCTCGCACGCGTCTTGTCTTTGTAAACAGTGCGCCGCGTGGCAAGTTTGCTGACTTTGTGCCCTGAGCTGCTTGTGACCCTACTGAGATCTCCGTGAACATGGACACAGCAAAGCAGAGCTACCGGAACCTCTGCTTGTCCTACAGAGGTTCAGAGAGACAGCCGCCCAATTTGCTGCAGCTGGCCTTGCGGTTTTCGCAGATTATTGAGATGCGCGACAAGCAGGGTGTCCACAACAAGCTTTGGACCCCGGAGCAGCGGCTGCAGGAGGTTGTGGACGAATTCAACGAGACGTCAGGTCTGCAGCAGAAGCACAGGGTCGATGCTGAACGGTTTCGCTCCCTGTTGAACTTGATTTCCGGCAGCTGCGAGGCGACTTGGCTTGACATTACGACATGTAAATGACTTCATTTGCGTTTTGTAGTGTCATCCTGCAGCCAAGGAGTCCCGGCAAGTCCTTCGGCAGCACCTGAACCACCACAAGTGGCGGGAGGCCTTCAGCGTGGAGCAATTCAAGGGTAGCCGCTGGTTGGTGGGTGCGACGCCCAAGTCTACCTGCCCTCCTGACATGAAGCAAGCTCTGACAGTGACGCCTGAGTCGCAGCGCATGCACTTCGAGCTCATTGTGCACACATTCGTCGAGGGGGGCAGGAAGCTCCGGCCAAGCGCAAGGTCACGCACGCGCGCTGCGCCCGAGGTCTTTGACAGGCATGCTGACTACGCCTGCATCTTCGCCACAATCTAGCTTGACTGCTGCCCGGCAGCTGTCCACATGGACAGCTGAGAAGGAAGAACAGCTTTACAAGCTGTTCCTCCAGAAGAAGCTTGGTTGTTTTGAGCGTGTGAGTATGTGAGAGAGAGAGGGCGTGCGCGCGCACGTGGTGCTTGAAAGAAAGCGATGACTGCCAAGGGCCTACTTCACGGACATAGAGGCGGCGATTGTGGCAAAGCTGGACAGCTGGCGAAGTCACACCTGGCGGTCTGGGCGGACTACGTGGAGCCCAAGGTGCCGACCATCACCATCAGCGACAGCGTCGACATTGGCATTGCTGAGGATGAGGCCCAGGCTGCCAGGTTCCGGGAGGTGCGCGCCAAGCTCAGCTCGGACATGATGGCAATGGCGCAGTGGAACGCACGGCAGGAAGAAAACAGGAAACGGGCACACGTGATCAGCGTGTTGCACGAGAAGAGCCAGGTTGAGACCGGCAAGAAGCTGCTTGTCTCATTGAGTAGTAGATGCTTAAAAGTTCTTCGCAGCAGTCGTTGCAAGACTTTACGTTGGAAGCCCCCAGGCTGGCAGACGCCTACATGGAGCAGTGGTGCTCTGTCAGCTTGACTCCTGGCATTCCAGAGGCTTTCCTCAAGGCCGTGGCTTTTCGCAACAAGGCAAGGCAGCGCGAGTGCCACGCACGTGGCGTGTGGTGACAGTGGTGACAGTGATTGAATTCTTGTTTTTCTGCCAGGTAAGCCCTTTGGATGTGCGCCTCATCCTCTACGTCGATTGCACCAAGTTCGGGGTCATGACCCAGAAGGAAGTCAACGACGTGGCAGACACAGTGGAGAAGCATTTGAATTACGGCCCAGGTGGACTTGGTTTGAATTTGTTTGTTTCTGACGCTGCCAAATGGGCGCTAATTGATTCAATTGATTCTGATGATGATGGCAGGTGGCATCGCTGTGATCCTGCCACCTTTGTTGAGCGGCAGTACTTCTGGCGGCTCGCTCCGGCAGGACTGGCGCCGGATTGAAGACAAGATGGCTGCCAAAAAGGTGGAGCTCCGACAGTTCACTCTGAACTTGGACTTGAGTGAGCTGCATCGGAACAGGGAGTTGCCGGCAGCCTACTTGTGCTTCCTGGGCGTGCAGGACCACGCGCTTCCGATGAAGGGAACCGCCCACAGAGCAGTGGGCAAGATGGGGTCAAGGCCAACTCGCTCCCTGGCATTGACTTGTTGCCAAATTTTAAAGCTCGGCGTGTCCAACGCCCTGACAAGCAACCTGAGGTTCTGCGCTTCTCCGCTGTGGCAGAAGCATGCGTTGGCTGTGAAGGACTTCCCGTTTGCCATTCAGGAGAAGGACTTTATCATTCCTGGTGACTCCCTCCTGCACTCGAACGACCAGCAGCGCAACCTCAAAGGAAACGGCGCAGTGGCTTGGTGGCGTCGGCGTGCCCAAGGCCATCTTCAAGTCTTTGCTTGGTGGCTTGGCGTGCTAATGGTTGTTATTACATGTTCTTGCTTTCATCTCATGGTTGTTGGATCACGAGCCCTCAGGCGATGATGCAGCTTTGACTGGGCTGCAGTCTTCAGCGATGAGGCCAAGACAGTGGCCGCTGCGCAGGAGAAGCACGGTAAGGCCTTGGCCGAGATGACTGTGACAGGAACGCCAGGCTGCACATTGATGCTGCTAGAAGACCACGCCCTCTTTGTTTGCGCCCAGGAAGCCGTCTCTATAGACTCCAGCATGGCCTTTCTGGCACACGGGGCAGGCACGTGGCTGTTGGGGGACAAGGCGACCAAGCTCAAGGCCGAACACCCTAAAAAGGCTTTGAGTGCAAGTGGAACAGTGATGAGGATTTGGTGGTTTTGGAGGCGGATGGGGCGGATAGTACCTTGCGCAAGGCCCTCCAAACTGTGGAGAAGGGCGGCCTGGTGGACTTCACTCTTGGAGGGCATTCAGTGACGCGCCCGCCAGAGGTGGCCCAGGGCCACGCAGATGACAAGTTCACCATTGTGGCAACCAATGACATTTTGTGGAAAGCAAACAATGTGGCCATCAAGAGCCTCAAGAGCCACAACGTGGCGTCCACGTTCACCAAAGCGAAGCTGGAGAAGGTGCTGAAGCTTGCTCCTTGTCTCGTCTTCAATCCAGGCTGAGCTTGGCACTCACTGTGTTGTGTCAGCCAAGGTTTGGAGGATTCGCGTCTACAACTCTGACAAGACCGTTGCAGCAGCCAAGCCTCTTTGGTTTCTTCCTGCTGGCCTCAGCCTTGGAAAGGACGAGTGCAAGCGAATTGTGTAGGCCCAGGCCCAAGGCAAAGCGCTGCAGCAGCAGCTGTGAAATAGATCTGGCGCAGTCACTTGTGCCATTTTTGAGACTTAGGGCAGCGCGCAGTAACGGTAACATGAGATTCAACATGCAATGTTGTCATTTGACTGGATTGTTTGCATGCCGCTTGAAGCAGTCTGGGTGGGGACAAGCGACTTGCACACAGTCTGGCAGCCTGCTATTTAAAGCACTTCAAAGTGACCACAAAATTGAAATTGTTTCGAATGGTTTGAAGAACATTGAGTTGGCTGCCTAGAGGACAAGTGGCAAGTTGCTTTGAGGTTGGCTCAGGGTGCAGTGCAACATGATGCTGCTGTAGGGAGCGCTGTGATTCAGAAAGAATCCAGACCGGCGAGGCTAAGACACAAAGAGCGCATCGAGCAGATGCTGGCAGGGCAGGGGCATTGAATTGGTTGAGTCTTGTGCCCAAAGCTTGTTGCTACACACGCGTTCCCAGCGAGATCTCGGCTTAGGTCAGTTTTGAGTGCCGCCATTAGCAATGGCTAGGGTGCCTGCAGTTTTCAGTGTGGACGACTCTCCCATGGAGTTCCATCGCAGCCCGCTGCAGCCTGGATTGATGGCAATCCGCGACACCTCTGCGCAGCGCCCCAGCGCCTCCGCATCCGCAAGCACTTTGCCTCGGCGTGCTCTGCAGTGGAGCCAGATGCGACCAACACGCCGCCAGCGCGATTGAAGGACCAGTGTGTCACTGCTTCGGATTCAATTGTGCATGTAAATCTGGGTCCCAGGATTTTTCTCCGCTGGCGGCTGTGCCTGAAGTGCTGCTTGGAAGCGTATTAGGGTCACTCATTATGACAGTCAGCTTTGAACACGGCACCCATTTCACAGTTGCTAGCCAATCACCCTTTTCGGGGGTAAAAATATTACAATCATCACCATCGCCTCATGTCTCAGTCACCATCACTCACCACTGTTATTCAATCAATGGCAGCGGTTGCCAGAAACCTACACATAATCTGACATTGCTCCTGAAATGTTCCAATCACAAAATGAAGACAACGTCCAGCTTGACTTCTGTTTCAGGTTTGAGGGGTGCGCACCTCCAAAGACGCTGGACTTTGCCGAGACACAGATGGATGACACTCTGTCGGCGGACGAGTGGACTGATGCGCAGCTGTGGGAGGACCCCAATGGCATGATCCCTGCCACGCAGCCCGGCCCGCTTGACGTTGACCACTTCTTTGCCGCAGGAGGGTTGGGTTTGACTAGTCATTCTTGGTGTCGAAAGTGGCCATTTGTGCGCAGGTTTATATTTGAGCCCGTCAGAACTTTTGACAATTAATGGCACTGCGTGTTGTCTTGGGGAGATGTTCAGCGGCCCTTTTTAGCTGTATAATTCACTGCTGGCAGAATTGCTTGACAATCAGTCTGCCCAGAATTTAGCTTGCACAGGCTTGCGGCTTGCGCGTATTTTGGAATCAGACGCATTGATTGCATTGTTTTGGAATTGGTTGGCAGCTTGGATTGGCAAACAACGCAGAGGAAAAGGCCTGGCCTGACAGGAGTCGACAAAGGCAACACAGATGATGACAGGCAGCGTCCTGCTGAGCGGCCTCAGAAAATCCGCCGGCTCAAGAACATGGCAGCTGACACGCAGGAGGACAAGGCCTCAGCCGCTGCAATGCAGCCGGAGCAGGAGAAGGCCTCATCCACCACAGAGCAGGAGAAGGCTTCATCCTCCACAAACCAGGACCAGGAGAAGGAGCAGGAGAAGGAGCAGGTCCGCCACAGAGCAGGAGAAGGCCACAGAGCAGGAGAAGGCCACAGAGCAGGAGAAGGAATCCACCACGGAGCAGCAGGAGAAGGCCTCAGCTACAGAGCCCAAGAAGGCATCAGCCACCAAGCAGAAAAAGGCCTCAGAGCAGGCCCCATGGGGCAGGGCGGCAGCTCAACAAGCTGACGCCGGAGAGCAAGAAGAAGGAGGTGGAGCGCCGCAAGGAGCAGAACCGGGCAAACTCTCGGATTTGGCACGAGAAGTGCACAGCGCCGCCAGCGCCGCCAGCGCCGCCGGCTTTGCAGGTGGAAGTGAGGTCCATGAAGGATGCTCAGCACAAGTTTGTGAAGGAGTGGATTACAACATGCGGCCTTGAACCCAGCCAAGAGCGACGCCAAATGGCTTTGAAAGCTTGGATGGCCAGCCCTTTGCGTGCTGAGATCCTGGCTGGCCGAGTTGCAGTTCAAATGTAGCCGCTGGCCAGTTTGGTTGACTAGTAGTCCTAGCCTGAGTGGGCCAAGTGGCCCTTGCCCAGCCGGCAGCCTGTCTTCCGGGTCAAATACTGAGGTCAGGAAAGAAAGCCTGCATGAGTGAGGTTCATTTGGTTTCCAAGACAGGCTGAAAGGCCACAGGGGATGGGCTGGGCTTAGTGCAACTGCTGCAGCCGCAAGAGGCAACAGCTGAGTTGAATTATTTGGAAACCAGTTGCAATCTGTCTTGAAATTGGTTTGGCCCTGCCAGCGAGGCTGGCAGCAAGAAGGGCCCCTATCCAATGATTTGTGAACAAGGAGAACAATGCAACCGCATTGTAAACGTTCAGAATGGCCTTGCCCATTTCAATACAGCATTGTGTTGACACCCGGGGGGCATTGGGGCGCACAGGGTCACTACAGTGTGCCGCAGCCGAAGGCAAAAAGGCGTCCCTGTGCTTGCTGCTCTTGCAACAAACTGCTCGGCATGACTTGCAACATGTCTCCCGGTCTCCTGGCACTCGCAGGGGGAAGCGGCCGCCGGCTGCGGGGCTGCGGCAGCTGGGCTGCAGCGGCCGGGCCTCTGGCGCAGCAGCTTCATGTTACATGGTGCGTGTCAGGCAGCACGGCAGCTCGGAATTAAATGCCTTTTTTGGGCCGACTTTCAGCTTCCAGCGGGTTGTGCCTTTTGGCGGGCTGTTAGATCAATGTCAACTCGCCTCAGTTCCAGATTCACAAGGTATCAGAATGTGAGACAAGGAAATATCAGTACATGGTCTGCCATAGTTGCTGCAAGCTCGCGTTTCCGAGCAGGGACTCAGCAACCTGATTTTCGGTAAGCCTGCCATATGACTCCCAGACGGAGTCAGTGGTGATACGAGCAAAGCTCTTGCCAACTTCGCTCTTGACATTAGTCAGCTTCAAATCATTTATGCTTTGCTGCCGGCCAGAATGAGACCGAATGTTGGAGATCTTCACAGAGCATGTTGCCGGGAGCGTGTAGGACTTGCGGATGCGCCGGATGGCAGCCGAAACCACATCCTGCGGGCAACTGCGATGGTCGCAGGCAATCAAAGTGTCAGCAGCAGTCCTGGAGAACATAACGCTGTACTAAGTGTCAGGCGAGTGGCTTTGTTCCGCCGCTGGAGCTCTGCGTCCTCACGGAGGGCTGGGAACAAGTAGTCCTCGTTCTTCTTTGGCCAGACCCACTCATCTTGATAGGTGCACACGCCCCGACTTCCCCACTTGCGACTCCGAGGCACTCGTTCACCACCATTTGCTTCGAGCTTCCAAGAAGTGCTCAGCGCTTGGCGTGATAGGCTTGCGGATTTCCCCATGCCCTTTGAGCGCAGGGACTGTCAGCCACTTGTCCTGGAGGTTGATGTGGACTAGCTTCAACTTGAGCACTTCAGTCACCCGGCAACAGAACAGGTGTGTGAAACACACCACCACCCAAACCCAGGTTGGGCCAGTTGCCCAGACGTGGTTTGCCCACGCACGCCAAGCATCTCCTGTAAGCGACTCAGCCTTGCCTAGTTTTTTTGATTTGGCTTTTGCGCTCTTGGCCTTCATGACTTTCATGGTCTTTGTGGCCTTTGTCGCTTTCATGGTCTTCATGGCCTTCATAGCCTTCATGTCCATTTCCTTCATGCTTTTCATGGCAAGGGGCAAGGAATCCAAGGCGTTCTGAGCAGCTACAAACACTGCGAAGTAGCATCCCATTGCTGAACAAGCAGCGGCCAAGCGCTGAGCAAGTGCACTTCAGCAGTGCTGAACAAGCACAGCAGCAACTCTGGGCTGAACAAGCTCAGTGACAGGCGCGCTTGTATGACTCGACTTCATGCATGTGTTGGGGGCGTGTTGTGAAAGGCAGGTCGCCTTTGCACCTTTGAGGCATGGTCGCTAACTCTCCGGAAGGCGCCCTTCCCCTGTTCAAAGGCGACGTCCCAAGATTCGAAGGCGACCTCCCCGTGGTTAAAGGCGACCTTCCAGGACCCAAAGGCGACCTCCCTTCCCTGGGTTCCCCTGCTTGAATGTACTGCCAAGGCACTGGCTGGCTCTCGCTGGCTCTCGCTGGCTCGCGCATCCGCAGCGAACGACAGCGGCCGGCCGACTGCAACGAAGGAGGCCGCTGGCTGCTCAGCCTCATTTAGACCCCACGTGCTTGTCCAGCACTGAACTGCGCTTGTTCAGCACAGCATTCAACACTCAGACTCAGAAGTGCTTGTTCAGCACCGTGTGCTTGTCCAGCACTGAACTGCGCTTGTTCAGCACAGCATTCAACACTCAGACTCAGAAGTGCTTGTTCAGCACCTCCAGCACTGAACTGCGCTTGCTCACTCAGCACAGGGTTCAACACTCAGAAGTGTTCAGCACTGTGTGCTTGTCCAGCACTGAACTGTGCTTGTTCAGCACAACGTTGACCTGAGTGCTTGTTCAGCACTGTGTGCTTGTTCAGCACTGAAATGCGCTTGTTCAGCACAGCGTTCACTCAGAAGTGCTTGCTCAGCACTGTGTGCTTGTCCAGCACCATGTTGTTTACATCCAACGCTTGTTTAGCGCCAACGTGTGCTTGCTCAGCACACTACATCCTACGCTTGTTCAGCGCCAAACCCTGGCCTGCTGCGCTTGCTCAGCACAGCGCCTGCGTGCCATCCAGGAGCAGCTGCCGAAGAACGTGTAGCGCGAGCCCGAATTCCTTGGCAGACAGGCAGGCTTGACCTTTCAACTCCCACCCTGCAAAGTCAGAGCAGCTGCAAGCAACTTTCGACCAGTGTCAGTTTGAGATTCACAGAATGTGTCCCTGGAGCGGACTTTTTTTCTCGGCAACTGTGCGACAAGGCTTTCAATCTCAAGCAGCCATACGCCAGGCAGAAGCTACTTGGCCCCAAACATACGTGTTTCAGGTTGGTTTGTGCGCTGGCGCATTGTAGCTTGCATTTGCTCTGCCTGCCGCCTGCTGCTTGATTCCAAATAGCCCCAAATTCCCGGGTTGTGTTTAAAGGTCTTCCTTTGAATTTTGGCTTTGGGTGTGTCTTTCAACAACCAGGGAAAATGGAGCAATTCCAGACCTGGCAACAGCTGTGACACAATGCCAATGGCTGCCCATTCAAAGGGTTGAAGGTGAATGGCTGCTCTTGGTGCAAGGAACCTTTTTGTTTTGGGGCAGCTGCTGCTACTCTACGGGTGAAAATTGACTTGTCTTGAGATCATGTGCTGGCCTTCACCCAAACCCAAGCCCTGGACAGCCACCGGGCTAGCTCAGAGTCAGCCAGATGCCTGCGGGCCAGGGCTTGTTGCAATGATGACAAGAGCATGCATGAAGCTGAGAGTCAGCCTCATTTCTGCTTTTTCTTCTTCTGCTTCTTTGCAGGGTTGGTGTTGTCCTGCAGCACAGCCGGGAGACAAGAGGTTACGGAAAAGAAACAACCTCAACACAGTCCTTGACCTCCTTGATTTTGGTCCTCTTCTTTGCGGGCGGCGGGGTCCAGTTCGCCTTCTTGCTGGGCCCGGAGGTTTGCCTGCATGCTGATTGTGGCGGTGCTGGAAACGCGCTGCAGGCTTCTTGCCAGCTCTGTGCACTCCGTGCGCCACTCACGCTCGGTTTTCCTCCACCGTTGTTCCTGCGCCTCCATGAGCGCCTGGTACTTCTCCTCGAGCGCTTGGAGCTGCTCGCGATAAGCGATGTGCTGGTCTGTGAGCCTTTGTTGCAAGACCCGCGCCCTCTCCTCTGCTCTGTTTTGCAAGCGCCGCGCCTGTGCCTGCGACACTTTCGGCCGAGGCTGAAGTGGGGGCATGGGAGGGAAAGGGAATGGCAATGGCCCCATAGCAAGGCCAAAAGGCGGGGGGCCAACAGGCGGGGGGCCGGCCCAAATGCTGCGGCACCTGTAGAGTGACATGGCTGGGCCCTGCAGAGAAGCTGGCTGCCGGATGTGTGGCAGGGCCAGCGGTCCTGTGGCAGGGTTTGGCGCTGCGCCCCCTGAGTGGCTACTTGGTGGGCCAGGTGTGGTGGGCGCTGTGGCCCGCGCGCCAGGTGTGGTGGCAGGGTTGGGCGCTCCTGAGTGGCCCCTTGGCGGGCCAGGTGTGGTGGGCGCTGTGGGCCCCGAGTGGCATCTTGGCGGGGCAGGTACAGTGGCAGGGTTTGGCGCGTGGCCCCTTGGCGGGCCAGGTGTGGTGGGCGCTGTGGGTTCTGAGTGGAACCTTGGCGGGCCAGGTGCGGTGGCAGGGTTTGGCGCGTGGCCCCTTGGTGGGCCAGGTGTGGTCGGACCAGGTGCGGTGGCAGGGTTTGGCACGTGGCCGCTTGGCGTGGCAGGGTTGGGCGCTGAGTGGCCCCTTGACGTGGCAGGGTTGGGCGCTGAGTGGCCCCTTGGCGTGGCAGGGTTGGGCGCTGAGTGGCTGCTCAGCCTGCTGTCTTTGGCTCTGCTGCAACTGGTGCTGCTGCTGCTGATGCTGTTTCTGCTCTTTGCCTGCCAGGCGGTGGGGCAGGCGGTGGGGCAGCAGGCGGTGGGCCAGGGCACTTTGGAGGCTCTTTTGGCAGTGCCTTTGGTGGGGTTACTGGGACTGCTGACAGCGGCACTCCTTTGGAGGTTGTTGTCATGACTTTGGGCGCTGGCTCTTTGGGGCGGGCTTTGCGCTCGATCTTTGGGCGCTCCTGCGAGAAAAGAGACAAGCTCAAGCATGAGTTCCAAGCACTGCCAAGCAAAGAGACAAGGCTCAAGCATGGAGTTAAAATTGTGAGACTAGTCCAAGCCTTGCGCTCGGTCTTCGCGCGGTCCTGCAAGGAAAAAGCCCAAGGTGCAAACGTGAGTTTCTAAGACCACCACATTGCGTGAGAGCAGTCAGCAGTCCTTCTTCTTTTGGTGCCATGTCACAGGAGGATGGCTATGCCGTGGAATGTGTCAAAACCTAGAGTTCTGAATTGAGCTGCGCGGTCAGTTTTGCACTGCTTATTACGTGATATAGAGGGGTTCACAAGTCGCAGAATTCATTCTGGCTCATGGGCCTGCTGAATTGTGTGCCTCAGGATGGCTTTCTCTAGAAACTGATTTTTGTTTGAGTCTGTTCCTGCTCCCGTTCCGCGCCGATGTGATCCGAAAAACTGCTGCGGTGCTGATACGTGTGTTCAGCTGCCCTCCTGTCCCAGCACTTATGCAGCCTAGGTTCCAGCAGCTGGGCGCTGCCTGGCTGGGCTGCAGAGTGGGGGCTAGTTGGAAACATGTCAACTGGGAATCTGACATCACAATTTCTTGTTAAGGATTTCTGACATCACATTGCTGACCCAGGGTGCCTTGAGTGGAAGCAGCTGAGGGCTGATGGAGCGCTTCTTCAGCGAGTGTACGCGAGCTTGCGCAGCTCGAATAGCTTGCTTACTGGCAATAAACAATTCAAGTCGCCTTGGGTGCTGCTTATTAGGTTGCTTGAGGGTCGCAGAATGGGCTGGTGCACTTCTGAAACTCGGCGGTGGTGCACTTCTGAAACTCGGCGGATTGCTTTGGCAATGCAACTGCTTCCTTGCAACTATTTTTTGCTGATTGGGCTTCATCAATGCTTTGAAATTGCGTGTGTTGTTTGTATTGCTGAGAGTGAGGGGTGCTTGTCCAGCACATTCCAGCGAGCTAGCTCAATGAAAACTGCTCCGCTGACTCAGGGCTGCTCCAAACAAGAAGGATGTGCGTGAACATGAAATGTTGATGAAAATTGGTGTGCCACTCACAAGCCCACTCAAGTTTGCGCTTCATAGTGTTTGGGGCTGGCTGGAGCAGCAGCATGTAGCATTGCAACCCATTGTGCAAAACACTTCAGTTGCAAACGCTCTTGGAGATGAACAGAACAACTCAGAGCTGAATCATCTTGGTTTCTGAGTAAATGGAAGCCTGTGAGTGGGTTTAGCCCATGTTGCAAAAGAGCTCGCAAAATGTGGGTGGGCTTGTGAAGTGTTGGGGGCTATGATGCTGGTCCAGCACATTAGTTTGAAGGGGCTTGCATTTTGTCTAAAAGGAAGCCATGTTGCTTGGAAGCCTTTGGGCCTTTGGTTGGATGCTGAAGAAAAACACAGCAAAAAACACTAGTTTTGATAAGTTAAAGCTTTTGTTTGTGTCCAACCTCAGCTTGGTTCTGATATCATTGTAAAATGAGGGGGCCGTGCTTACCCAGCACAGGTTAAAGAGGGTGCTTGTCCAGCACATCCCAGAGAGCTTGTGCAGCTCCCTGTTGTACAACTGACTGATTGAGGGCTCCAACAGGGTGAGGAAAAGGATGCCACTGCTTGTTCCCCACACGCATGTCATGACTGTGCTTGCCCAGCACAATGTGCTTCCCCAGCACCTTGAAGGGGCTGTGCTTACCCAGCACAGATTGGGGGGGTGCTTGTCCAGCACATCTCAGGGAGCTTGTGCAGCTCCCTGTTTTAGGGCAACACAACTGACTGAGGGCTCCAGCCAACAGGTTGGGGAAGAGGTTGGTGAATTTGCTTGGGACAAGCCTTGAACTTGCCTTCTTCCTGAAAACATGATGGTCACAGTTAACAGTTGTGTGTTTTGGTTGGGTTGGGCGGATGCTGCAGACATGCTGGCCTGACACAGTGTCGACTTCAAAGCATCAGCATTGCAGTGGCATCATCTTCCTCCAAGCTCGTACATTTTGTTGTGAGCCGCGCTTTCCCAGCACAGTGTGAAGGCGAAACCCAACAAACTGAGGGCTGCAGGAGGTCAATGAAGTTGCCTGGGGCTGAAAGCAAACCACAACAAATCAGAGACCCATGACCCATGAGCTCTAAAGCATGTGCATGAATGCCTCCCATCTTAACAAACAATCGTGTGGGCTAGTCACGGGAACGCTGAACTGCGTGGTGTGCAGATTGAAATGCTGCAAATACAAGTTGACAAGCCACAGGCACTGGCAACAAAGTTGTTGGTACCCTCCTTCAAATTTGTAGATATTGTTGGGATGGGTGAGGAAGTCATTGGACTTAACACGCATGTCATGACTGTGCTTGCCCAGCACAGTGTGCTTGCCCAGCACCTCGAAGGGGCTGTGCTTACCCAGCACAGATTTGGGGAGGGGGTGCTTGTCCAGCACATTTCAGGGAGCTTCTGCAGCTCCCTGTGAGAAAAAAACGACACAACCAAAAAACTGAGGGCTCAAACGGACCGAGCAAGAGGTCGATGAAGTTGCCCAGCTGAAAGCAGCTCAGTTTCAACCCCTCACCCCGCTTCAAATCAGAACAATTTGGACACCCGTGTTAGCAAGTAACAGCGCTGGCTAGCCGAGCTGCGTGGTGTGCAGTTTGAAATCGCCTTTGATCCGGGTTGGGCAAATGCTGCAAAAACAAGTTGACAAGCCACAGCACTGGCAACAAAGTTGTTGGCACCCTCCTTCAAATTTGTGGAACAACACGCGTGTCATGACTGTGCTTGCCCAAGCACAGTGTGCTTGCCCAGCATTTTGAAGGGGCTGTGCTTCTTCAGCACAGATTGGGGGAGGGGGGGTGCTTGTCCAGCACATCTCAGGGAGCTTGTGCAGCTCCCTGTGGCAAAAAAAAGAGACAATGAACAAACTGAGGGCTGCAACGGATTGAGCAAGAGGCCGATGAAGTTGCCCAGCTGAAAGCAGCACAGTTTCAATCCCTCACCCCACTTCAAATCAGAACGATTTGGACACCCATCTTAGCAAGTAACAGCGCTGGCTAGCCGAGCTGCCTGGTGTGTGGATTGAAATCGCCTTTGATCCGGGTTGGGCAAATGCTGCAACAACAAGTTGACAAGCCACAGCGCTGGCAACAAAGTTGTTGGCACCCTCCTTCAAATTTGTAGATCTTGTTGGGATGGATGAGGAAGTCATTGAACTTAGCAGCAACACGCATGTCATGACTGTGCTTGCCCAGCACAGTGTGCTTGCCCAGCACCTTGAAGGGGCTGTGCTTACCCAGCACAGATTGGTGCTTGTCCAGCACATCTCAGGGAGCTTGTGCAGCTCCCTGTGAGAAAAAAACGACACGATAGAAAAACTGAGCCGAGCAAGAGGTCGATGAAGTTGCCCAGCTGAAAGCAGCTCAGTTTCAACCCCTCACCCCACTTCAAATCAGAACAATTTGGAGATCGATGAGACCCAAAACATGCAGTGTGGGTTTGAAATCGCCTTTGATCCGGGTTGGGCAAATGCTGCAAGAACAAGTTGACAAGCCACAGGAACAAAGTTGTTGATAGATACTGTTGGGATGGATGAGGAAATCATTGGGCTTAATAGCAGCTGGTTTCTAGACATCATCACGCATGTCATGACTGTGCTTGCCCAGCACAGTGTGCTTGCCCAGCACCTTGAAGGGGCTGTGCTTACCCAGCACAGATTCGGGGAGGGGGGGTGCTTGTAGGGAGCTTGTGCAGCTCCCTGTGAAAAAAACGACACGATAGAAAAACTGAGGGCTCAAACGGATTCAGCAAGAGGTCGATGAAGTTGGCTCAGGACAAGCCCGCCTCCCACAGCCTGCCCAACCCTGAAACACATTCTGGGCCGTTCTCCCTTCTACCACCTCCAAAAGCCAATGGTTCAAAATAGGAAATGCTTGCTCCAACCTGAAAATCAATTTGTCAATGGCCAAAGGATTCTGGTAAAAAAACACCTCTGCCCACCCCCAAAAACCCAAATTCAAAGAGAACAATAAAGGCTTCTTTGGGCCTGATTACTATAAATTTGGACCTGAGTGCCATGAATTTAACTTTATGCCCTGACCAATTTCCCCAGGCTGCTGCACGGGCCTCCGGGCACTGGAAAGACGTCAACCATTACGGCAGTTGCCAAGACCATGTGCCCCAGGAAGTGAAACGACCCAGGCCGGCAAATCAGAGAACAACCCGCAGGTACAAACAGCGCTACAAGTCCATGACACTGGAGATGAACGCGTCGGATGCACGTGGAATCGACGTGGTCCGAGAGCAGATCAAAACTTTTGTGCTGAGCTCAGGCAAATTGACAGGAGGAAGGGGAATGGGGCACTGAGATCCGAGGTGAGTGTAAAGCAGCTGTTTGCCTCTGCAGAAGGGCAGCCTAAGCTGGTCATTCTCGACGAGGAAAGCTGAAAGCTAGCACATGTTTTTGCTTTGCATATTTGGCGCAAGGGCATTGCTTTCATGTTCATGTTGCTTTGCATTTGTGGCTGGGTTCCTGTGATGGAACAGCCGCTCTTCCAGGCTGACAACATGACCAGCTCAGCTCAATTTGCGCTGCGGCGCATGATCGAGCAGTGCCCCGTTCTTGCAATTCGTGTCAAGTGTTGCTCGTGCCCCAGATGCCCCAGATGCCCATGTGTTTGAACCCCGTGGCATTTTGGCCCAGCGTAGTTTTTTTTTTGCGAAAGTGGGAGGCCGGGATCGGCCTGAGTTTCTTTGGTGTTTACTCGTCGCCTCATGCAAACTGGCAGCCACTGAGACGACTAGGATGGGCTGTACGAGTGTGCACAGTGTGCACCGTGCAGTGCATGGTAGTCATGCACTAGGACTGGCTGAGTGCGGGCGGGGCTTACTCGGGCGTGCTCGGTGCTCAGCCTTCCCACGGATGTCAGGATCCGCTCTGGGCGCTTGTGTCATTGTAGAGGACCAGCGTCAGCATGGGACTCTGCAATAGCAGTTTGGCACTCTGCCCAGCCCATTCTCAGCCGCCCTTGCCAGGATGACTGTGGCAAAGTGTATGAAGAGAATTCCGTGAGTTACGTCGAGACTTGCAAAAGAAGTCGAGGGTCTCAGAAAGCTTCATGATATGCTAGGCTCACCCGTGACAAGTCCAGCCGTGGGTTTGAGACTTCCCTTTGCACTCAGGAGCCGCAGCTGAGTTTCAATTCCATGGGCTGCAAGAATCCATCCGCACCACCGGCAAGAACCCCACCAATCGCTTCAACTCATCAACGGCATGTAGAAAGGCTCCGCTGCATGTGCTGAACAAGTGTTTTTGATTTGGTCAGTCCGGGTTGCTTGAATTCAGGCTGAACGACTTCTTGAAGCGCGTTGATGCCAACAAAGCCGGCCTCAGGGAGGAAGTCAAGCACCGCAGATCGGAGCTTTCCAGTACAAGGATCTCATGTTAATCTTCTTCGTACCTTCTTTCAAACCGCATGGGACCTGACTGTCGAAGACAGCAGATCCAGTCTTGGTTTGGGCCCGATGAATTCGTGGCCGCCTTCCACTTTTCCTTGACAGCAAGCATTTTGCCAGTCTAACGGACCTGAGCAAGTGCCTGCTTTCGCCAAGGCCCTAAGGTCTCGTTTCGTTTACAGCAGCTCGATTTATCATAGCTTTGGCACAATATTTCTGGTAGTCCGCTGTTTAACGAGGACGCATCCAAAACAAATCCTACGAGGTAAAGACATAATTTCATCCGGGGCTCACATGATTGATGAAGTGGACATCTTTGGACGGCCAGTTGTCTAGTTGTCTGATCGCTGTCAGTTTTGCTGGCGTTGTTTTCCTTTTTTTTTCTAATCCGAATGGAAAAGGAGCTTTGCACGAGGCATGCCTCAGCCAGACACAGCGATTCGCTGGGGAACAGGTACGCATCCAACTGCCGCTTCATTCTGATCTGTAACTACAGCAGCAAGATCATCCCGGCCTTGCAGCCTGGGCTTCGGAATTCGGGATGCTTCCGGATGCTTCCGGGCACGTGAATTTCTGAAATGTACTCTTTCTTTGCTTTCTTTGCTTTCTTTGCTTTCTTTGCTTTTCTTGCTTTCTTTGCTTTCTTTGCTTTCCTTGCTTTCTTTGCTTTCCTTGCTTTCTTTGCTTTCTTTGCTTTCCTTGCTTTCTTTGCTTTCCTTGCTTTCTTTGCTTTCTTTGCTTTCCTTGCTTTCCTTGCTTTCTTTGCTTT